TTTATTGTTTACTTCTCAGCTGATAATAAACAGGTTTGAATAAGTGTGCCAAAAATCATACTTAGCCCTTTTTCTACCTTCTTTACCTTGCTGTTAATAATTGTTTTAGTGTACCTGCAGAGAAGATTCAGCTGTTTGACTGAAAGTATTTAATAATAATTACTGCAATAGAAAAAGTAGTTGCTAACACAGCTACCCACCCAAATATCTAATGAAATATAACTCCTTTAAACTTTTGAAATGTGGCCTTTCAAAAATGTCACATTTTTGGTCAGCCAGGAAATGTTTGCCATGTTTATGCAGCATGGGCATTTTGTGTGTTTACCACTCATACTAGGCATTATTAACAGGCAGCTAAAGTTTTCCCCTGTAAAAGAGACAGCACATTACAGGCAGAAGCTGGCTGTTCAGCACCTTTTGATATCTCTTTAGAGCTGTCAGTAAAGAGCACACAGCCTGATTGTACGGAGCTCTTGTGTTTCTTATACAGTATCTGATGGCAAGGGCTGTGTCACGAGGTCTGAGGGAAACAACAAACAAGATACCAGAAGATAAAGAAGTGTGTTACGGAAATGATATTACATGTTGGGAGGTAGAGCTGTGGAATATAATTACCTGCTGTTTTTTTTTTTACAAAAAAAGCCAAAAGAGAAATGGAAGAAAAATAAACAAGGATATAACAACACTAATTAACCCCTTCAGCCTCCATTGAGCTCTGACAATCTCACCACTTAATTTGGAAGTAAGGTTTTCTTTCTCACCTCAGTTACAATACATACAGTATACACATATATCAGATACAAAGCTTTCTCATATCAGGGTAAATCTGAAGGCTTTTCCATGTTATTATAAGATATTTATACATAGCACTATACTGTATATGATGTATGTAATTAGAAAGAAACTTTTGTGCATAGTTTTTCATTTGGGTACGCTGTGGACTGATTACTGTACCTTTCTAATCGTTTTACTTTTAGCTGTCAGTTTTTCACAGGATGTAGTAAGAGAAAGAAAAGACCCCCTTTCCATGCCCACAGCAGTTACAACAGTTGGTGCTTGGACAAATCTGAGAGTTAATAAGAGCAGTCCAAAGACTTAACAAAGCCTTTGAAGTTTAAAATAGAAAGCTTGAACAAGAAATTGGATGACAATTAGGTTGTAAATGTGTTGTAAATACAGAGGCCTATAAAACTTCCATTGAAGGAATGTGAAAGGAATTTGAGATATTTTGCAGCACTGAAATGTGCATGAGAGTTACAGATTACTTTTCCCACAATTGTCTGTAAATGTGCTTGCGGTCCTGCTTAAGTGCTGCACCAGAGAAAATAGTCATCTCAGTGGCAATGTATGTGGATTTTCCTGATGACTACTGAATGAAAGAGTCACAGGAAAAAAAGTCTAAGAGATGGGATGAAAAGGCCAAAGCAGGACTGATTAAGGGAGAATTATAAAGACATCCAACAAATGCGAGACAGCTTCATTAGAAAAGATTAAGGACTTATACAGTATAAAGCTGAGACATCAGCTTTCCTTAGAGCTCTCTTATACAGCAGCATATTTATGATTATACTGTACTGTATGTGTAAGAGAAGCAAACAGATGAAAAAGATGCCTTCACCAGCACAAGCAAAGAAAGTTCTTAGTAGTTCATTCTGACACACTGGCTCAGATGTGGATTGCTGACTGTTTTACTGAATCACAAGCGTTACGCCCACCTTTTCCTGTCTCAATAACATATTGCAGCTTTTAGTATCTGACATGACTAACTGTTGCATACTTTACTGATTACATTTGTTGATGAGTCTGCTGCTTCACAAAGCAACTCTGCAATCCCTGTACTGCCAGAGAAAAATCATATTCTCTATCTCAAGCAATATTTTATCTTTCTAAGCAAAACCAGCCAAAGTCTCATGAAATGCCAAACTAAACACTTCCTTTTGTTTTAGAAAGCAAACAGAACAATCTATATATGTGCACTTCCTGAAAGTATAACAGTAGTGTGCATATTCTCTAGCAGAGCATCAGCATACAGCATTTGGTGTTTAAGATCCTTACTCTTTCCCCCATGTGCCTTGTGAGTTCACAATCAATTAAGGGTATTGGTTGAGTATTTGTTTTCAATTTTCTGTTTCTATTTAAAGATTTGTATATAGTCTTATAGTTAATTAACATGAATAACATTCATTTAGTTTTTAAAAAGAAATTAATTGCTTTTTAAATAATTTGACAATATATTTTGGGTAACTTTTTAAAACAAATTGCCACAAATCCACTATGAATTCCAGGTGAACAGTACAGGAATAACACTTAAATATCTTGTGTAGTTCATTCCCGTTTATGTAATCTTTGTGTCTTTATGTCAAAGGAAAATGTATGAGCTGGACTGAAATCAAGTATTATGTGACTTAGAAGAATTGTGTAACATTTTCAGATTGTATTGTTCCTGTCCTGTTCACTTAGAGTTAAATCTGAATAAGCAGCGGATGTTTAAAAGTGTTAATCCAATTGTTGTTGGAAAAGTAAGGATTGTCAAGAATGATTGACTCCAACCCTATTCCTTGGCAGCCATTCTTTTCTGTTCTTTCCTAATTCTTTTTCTTTCTGGATTTGTTTTTATTTATTCACTTTGAACAAACAAAAATGCCAGAAGTGAACAAACAACCAAAGCAAGGCCCACTTTTACGTAACCTGAGAACTATGGTTCTTCAGGTTAAAAGAGTGTTTTGAATCATCAAGTAAAAATTAATCTTCAAAAACTAAGATTAAACCAGCTGTTGAGTAAATAAAGGCCCGGTTAGAATTAAAATCAGATTCCCCTGCAGTTCTTTGATACCAGGATTCAAATTATATACTTTATATATGTATTTTAATATAAAAGGTCCATATTTTAATTAAAAACATTGAAATCCAGGTAGTTACCAGAGCTGCAAATTATTGACTTTTAAGCAGTGTACTTAAGTATTCATATTCATTTATTTTTAGTCATATAAATCTGGCAGTTCTGTATTTTTAACTTAGGTGTAAGATGGGAAACATGAGCCTGAAGACACCGTCAAGAATTGTTTAGGGGCTTAAACTTGTAACAAGAAAGCTATGGGTCAGAATCACAGGTGGGACACATGATGTACTCTTGAGCAAGGTCCTTTTCTTCAAATACTTCAGTAAAATTCCCAGCTGTATAAATTCGTACAAATGTAAATCACTTTGGATGAAAGTCTCAGTCATAAAGTTTATTAATCGATTAAACGTTTTAGGTATTCATGTTAAAACTTCATTTTACCCCTTTAGACAATGTGTGAAAGAAATAGAAAAAAAGTTTCACAGAACAAAAAGATACAGTACTGTATATAGATGAAAAGGGCAGAACTCAAATTATGGAATGTTATGTTAAAATTTTACAATGCGCTACTAAGACCTCATTTAAAATGTTGCATACAATTTTGGGCTCCTTGTTACACAAACAATATAGTGGTGATCTGGAATCAGTCCAGACAACAGCAACCAGATACATTTGTTAACATAAACAGGTGGAAACTATGGAGATGTGTCCTTTTCTGACAGCTTACAGTAAAAGAGCTGTTCTTTAGTCCTGAACAGAGAAAACTACAGGGAGAGTATTCATTCAAGTATTAAAAAATTCTCAATGACCAGGTCAGTTCAACGTACTTTACATATTCAAACAATAGATTCACAAACCAAAGGTCACAGGTGGAAACCTTTGGGATGTGTACTTAGAACTTCGAATAATAAGCACTTATTGTATGTACTGTATACATACGATAGGCGGGTGTCTGGAAAAAGCTTATCCAGCTATTTTGTAACTAGATGAAATCCCCAGATCACTTAGCTTCTATCAGCTAAGGAACTGAATCCGTAGTATGCCTTAGTGCTGTGAGACAGCAATGCTAACCACTGCACCACTGTGCCACCGGAATGACTTCATCTTCTTTGTAAATCTTCCTTATGAAAATAACTGGTGTACTGGGCAGGATTCTCTACTCAGCATGATTGCGCGAAAGTCATTTATCTCTCAAGGAGTAGGTAAGAAGCTGGAGAAGCCAAGTTTTAAAACACAACTGCTTGCTTTCGCTATCTGTTCACCCCTGGTTTCCTGTGTAAGGTCATCTGTAGTGCAGATTGACTCATTTTAATTGAATATTTACTCATGTAGAGCGAATAATTTGATATGTAATACTGTTTATGGTATTTTCTCCAATTTGCTGAAAATACACATTTTCTCCAATTTGCTGAACTAAAATAAGACTCTTAATAGCAATCAGTTTTTATTAACCAATACAGATGTAGGGTAGATTCACAGTAATCAACCACTGTGCAAAACAAACACCAAAATCAAGTGTTGACTTGAAGATTATTAAACATTGGAAAGGAGACAATCTACTGCAGTTCCAGGAATAAGAGCATGTGCTCCCTGGAGTAAAATAGGAAATCTCTTATTGCGACTTATTATTATAAATGTTTCACACAGCAGGCAATAGAGCTTCCCTTTACTGTGTGATTAATTCACAGAACAGAGGAAGGAAAGGAAGTTCACATTTCTCACAGAGAGCAGGTCACCCACTCTTGCAAGCCAAAAGCTTCTTGGAATGAGTTTGGGCCTTTAATCTAGTGCAAAAATAATCTTTGATCAAAAACCTAATTGTCAGAGTGATTAAGATCCTGTATGTAATGCTTAATATAGCACATGGAAAAAAGCACAACAGTATGGGTTAAACCAGATTCATTCAATACCAGAAGTATAACAGAGAATATTTTAGGTGGTATAATGAAATATTAACTATATAGAAGCCATTGTTACAGAAATGCTATGGATTTTTTTTTATTGTCTATTGTTCTTTGGTCTTTTTAATACATTTTTTTTTGACAGAAAACCCACTGCCATCATCATCACCAGCAGAAGAAAATGCAAATAAGCTAAGAGTGCTGAATGCAGCACATTGTACACTACAGTAATGGGGCTTTAACTTTTTTGTGTTTTGCAGGCAAGAGCTTCACTTTGACAATCACAGTATTCACAAACCCACCCCAAGTGGCAACTTACCACAGAGCCATAAAGGTCACTGTCGATGGCCCGCGGGAACCAAGAAGTGAGTACCCCAGTATTTATCATTGCATTGTACAATAATAATTAGCAAGGTCAATGTGGTATGCTGGCTGTAGTTCAGGCTGGAGTGTATTAGCATCTACAGCACTGCTGGCAGAGTGCCTTGTATCTAATCTAGCTGCAAGACGTGGCTAGATTCAGGGGGTCTTTTCTACTGCATTAATAAAAATAGAAAACAAAACACAAAGCTGCCTGTGTCTTGTGACACTGTGCAGAGCAAGGGGCAAACATAAACAGGCATTTTTAAGCTGGTTGGCTTAAAAAAATATTTACCGCCGTGGCCTCTTCCACACGTGCTGAGATGTGCCCACCTCCCGGCGGGTCTTCCTTTCTTTGCACCAGGGCTGCAGACAGAGATGACAGAGAAAACTGAAAGCATACAATAGCCAACTTTCTCCAAACTTTTACTTTCGTGTTTTTCTAATCTCTCCCGTTTTTAGAGTTAAATACCGCCTTTGAAAATAATGCTGAAAGGACTCTGGACCTCACCAATTTGTTCCTTGTGTGAATTTTTGCTAAATTGTTACTGAGAGCCCTTTTAAAAAAATCTGGAATAAGTGTACTTTTATTTTTATATTTGAAAACTGAAACAATAATCTCTTAAATTATAGGTTCCCAAAACAGTGAATTTCAATGCTTTTTCTTCCAGAGGAACATTTGCTTTAATCTTGTTTTTCTGAAAGTAATTGTAAAAATGTTTATGGGTCAAAATCTGGCGTAAGATAACATAGATATGGAAAGAAGAAACATAATATTCATTTTACATAGTTCTAGTTTTGGAAAATAAGGCCCAGATTAAGCTAAATTTCATTTTAACTACAGAATGCAATTGCAAATGCAATACTAGATGGCCGGTTGCTTCTTTCTCTTATTCAATATTGGATTTTTCAATTGAAATTGGCAGGTGTGTTTAAATTTTGGATTTTAAGTGGACCGTAGTTGAAGTTTATTTGTAGTTAGAACAATTTGAACAAATTTTACATTGAGTTAAAATGCATTCATCATTGCTCTGTTTGTGATTATAGGATAGCTTTTTGTTCCTATGCATTAAGGAAATGTATTGTTATCTTTAAGAGTTTGACTTCAGAATACAGGAAGTGTTATGCTAGAAAGAAATTATTAACACTGTCTTAATGGTCTATTTAGAAATTTGTGTGAGGTGAAAAAGGACTTCATAGTTCATTTTCTTGCACTGTGAAAGCCTGCTGTTCTAAAAGCTCATAAAATATTTTTGAGCCATAAATTGGTCCAATTAAAAAACAAACTTCATACTCTGGAGAAAATTATCCAACCCAAACTGGTGTACCACAGAAAGAAAGAACGTCAGAAGATATCATCTGCAGATGGTTTACTTGGGCCTTGTATACAGCTGACTATAGCCACCACTCCCAGATTTTTATGGCTGTTTTACAAAACTGAATTGCCACTGCACATGAACACAGGAGGAGCAGATGGGTTTTTGTGAGGGTTCAGATTCTTGGTAAGGGGACATGAAGTTGGAAATATACGGATCTCCATAGCTTTTATGTATCTCAAAAAGATATTGGCTGTAGCATAACAAAGTGTTATTGTATGATCATACGTTTCAAATGATAAGCTAAGAACAGGTTGACAGGACAGCAACAGGTTCAGTTTAGTTTATATGATTTAAGTGATTTGTGTTTTATGAAGTCACACTCAAATGTATTTCAGAACAGAAATAAAAATACAAAAGGAACTACTGTCAACAGAATAAGAAAATAATAAAGGTTACAAAAGAAAAGAGGTCATTCAGCTCCTCTACCTTGTTTGGTTGTTAGGAACTAATTTGTCCAAGGATCTGATTCAACCATTTCTTGAGAGAAGCAAGGTTAATAGCTTCAAGAACATTGCTGCATAATTTGCTCTAGTCCCCCATAACCCCCTGTGTAAAAAAGTAAATGTCCTTCCCCATAGTTTTCACTTGGATGTTATGGTTTGTATTTCACCGTTGAATCTGAAGACGGTTTTTGTGTTGACTTTGTCAGTGCCTACAGGATTTGTAATAGTTGAATCAAGTCTTGAATTTGCAGTCTTATTTACTTAAGGCTAAAATAATTCAGTTATTGAGTCTGTCAGTATGTTTGCGTTTGTCCAAATCAGCAATTGTGTAATTGTGTTTTATTTGTAAATTGAATATTCTAAATTTCAGAGGTTTCAGTTCATGGTTTTAGCCCTGTACTAATTTGTTGATGTTTTTTTTTTTACTTTGGAGTGAAGAAAGAACAAGACTTTTATTTCTAATTTCTAATTGTGGGGTAAAACATATATTGGGGATAAACAGGATCTTTAATGATTTGTACTGTATGTATGGGTGATGTACAGTATTCAGCCCATCTTTGATAAATGGTAGTGTTGAAGTTGCTCCTTTACTGGGCTGGGTGAGAAGTATTCCAAATTTTATTAGAAATTCATGGAATATTATACAGTAGCATCATATGCAGATACAGATATTGTGGTCCTCAGAAAAAAATACATGTAATAATGTGCAAGGCTTTCAGTAAAAGTAAAAAAAAATTTAACTGAAAAAATCCTTTTGTTAAATGAATTTATTTTCCACTGTGAAATATGTGTACAATTGGTAAAAAAAGAGAACGATCACAGTTTTGAAACACATGGCTATGATGGACTTAGATTGTGGGTTGGACTTAGATTGTGGGTTTAAGACACATACATTTGATAACAGTCCATGCATTTACACTCACACATTTTTAACAGCCTGGACTTATCCTTTAAATAAATAAAGTGACAATATGATTCAAAATCCTAATATTAGGCAATGTATATTAAATGAAGGGTGAGATATTAAGAGTGTTCGGGAAGAGGTCAAATGGTAATCGTGTACTTCTGTTCTTTTATGTATATTTGCTTGCTGTGCACGGCTTTGAGAACACTGCTCTCTCTACCTTATCTTCACCCTACTGTAGCAGCAGCCTCCCTGGTTAACTTCTCTCATGTGAGGGGGGGTTTAGCAGTCCTGTCCTTACAGCCAGAGCTGTTATTTCCTCAGCCAGGTGAGGTGACACAAAACACTTAAGTATTTAAGTGTGATATCCTTTTATATTCACCCTTTTGTCTTGTCACAATTAAATTTAACTGAGCTACTTAACTCCCAGACTAATTAGGAGTTAAGCACATAGATTAGATTTAAGAAAACTACAAGTTAATTTCAATAGATCGGTTCGGTATGGTTGGAAAGAGGTCTGGACAATTTTTTTAGAGGTGCTTTTCAAGAAACTGAAAGAGTTTTTGAACAATAAGTTGAAGTACATACTGTATGGGAGAGATGCTACAGTTATGTCTTTGTGACTATGCCATGGTGTTTGTTAAACCTTTGTAGAAATAGGCATATCAAAACAAACAGGCATTCTTGAGAATAGTGTTTAATAGAAGTGTTATTTGTTTTTTTTCCCTTCACAGAAGCAATACGTTCTGTAAATGCCTTTACAAAAAATGACCTGTGGATTTCTTTTCTAAAGTTATACAGGGCAGTAAAGCTAGCATCAGATCATTTTAATGGGGCATGCATACATATATATAAAAAAGTTTATGATGTCCATCAATGCCAACCAGTCTGGTGTGCAGCTGTTCCCAGATGCTTTTTATTCATAAAAAATATTTTTGTCTTTCCATTTTGGCTCTAAAATCAATGCTATCACATCACAAACAACTTTTTCTTTTCTCAATAAACACATCTGGCACTGGCAGTTGGAGCCACTTCATAACAGCACATGATCATCATTCATTACCAGATTAAAAGTACCCCGTGGCATCATTGATGTGCCTGTCTTTGATCTCACTCACTTCTTATTCATCTGCCTTGTTTTTAAACCTTCTTTTAAAAGGATGGCGGCAGATGACTTCCAAACGCTAGATTATTGAGCAGCGTAAACATGGAGAGGGGAAAAAAACCAAACAATTTGGGGAAAAAAAACTAAACATTCTCTGCCTGTGCCGACTGAAAAGCGGAAACGAGGTGGAGACTCCTCATGAATGTGTCATCATATTCCAAAACAACTGTAACCCGCTCCTATTTTTATACCAGGACTCCTTTTATCTGTCTGCTCTTACTTTGAGTGCCTGCCCCATAGAACTCTTGTAAAACCACCACTTTTTAACTCTTCACACGTTTGTGTGTAGTGTGGTCTCTGCTTTTACTGGCACATTAAAAAGAAATACCATTAAGATCCAGCGTCACCATTTGAGAAACATGGCACATGGCCAAATGATGAAAATAATGTTTCTCAACAGCGGTGCCTCAAGAAACCACAAGTTACTGTGTATGTCCTCACCAGGGGTATTCAAATAGGGCCTTTTCAATTTCTGTCCACAGCTGTAGCTCTGGTAAATTTAGTTCCCTAATTATAAAACATATGAAACTATCAAATAATTATCAAGTTGTCTGAGGCCAAACCCTGCAAATGAGTAGAAGGGCAGGTAGTACACTAGCCTAGTCTAGATTAATGACTTGTATCATCTGGGCAGTTTTTAAAAGCCATTATACTTGTTTCCTGTGTACAGTGACTGACTTCTGAAAGCCTACACGGACACAAATCATCTCACATGGCTGATGTTATAGTTGTATTATACTTATAAAGAAAACCCTGCATTGCACCAGTTCATCTTAAAACTTAGGTAAGTTAGTTGCTTCTTCCTAGGTTCTGCATACCTGGGGGGTCTAAATGTAGTTTTTGTAGGCCATTTCCTTCATGCCATTTGTCAATGACTGTATAATAGGAATTTGTTTCCATGGATCATAATTCAAAAAATTCCTCTGATCGTGTTGAATGGATTTTTCTCTTTTGCTTTTCCAGGACAACTTAGAATGGTTTACAATTAAACAAGTAAAGCATTATTTTTGGTATATATGCATTTGTAAAGATCACTAATATAAAAATAGTCGGTTTTACATTGCTCGGATGCTGCTCTACTGAGATTAGATTGTAACACTCTTTTATGTTTTCA